GATGACATTATAATTTTCTGTATTAATTTTAAATTTATTCTCTAGATGTGTTTGAAGACTTCATTTCTCCCACTACTGCTGCCCAGACACTTTTGTTTACAGCCTGTAGCAAGAGGAAAGAGGTAGCTATTTAATGTGTAAATAACTTTTAATAGTTAAAGTTCATTCAAATATACTATTTTTAATGTTAGTTTTATAGGTCATTTTGTTATCAGTCTTTCTAAGGATTGTTCAGATATCCAATGGCATATTACTTTCCTTTTGACTCTAGGTACTGCAAAAGACTATGGGCTTTTGCTACCAGATTCTAACAGAACCAAATGCGGATCCTCGGAAAAAAGATGGAGCCCTGCATATGATTGGCTCTTTAGCTGAAATACTTCTAAAGGTATTTCTTAGTGCCTTGGTTTATTTTAACAACTTGAGATATAATTCACATACGAGAGAGTTCACCAATTTAAAGTGTATAATTCAGTCGTTTTCTTACATTCAGATTTCTCAAGCATTTTTATCACCGTAGTATCAGTTATCTCCTCATTTTCTCCCAAACCTACCAGCCTATCCCAATCTACTTTTTTCTCCTCTATGGATTTGCCTTTTCTAGACATTTCATATAATGAATATATTAACATATGGCCTTTTATTGGTGTAGATCAGAGGTGTGGCATGGGGTGTGTATGAGAGGATTTACCAGAGGCAGAGTGGGGAGCAGAACAGGTGGATCTACTGAAATTGACTGCTAAGGGGAGGAGCAGGCAAGACAGAGAGATGTGCTACACCATATGGGTAGCTCCCTGGCTGGGGGATCAAACTGTGCTGCAATAGCTGCCAATAGCTTCATAATGCTGAGATTTAACCCCATGTACCACCAGGGAGGCCTTTGAATTTTTTCTTGTTGTGTTGAAGGATAAATAGCAGGGTAAGAGATAGTATGTTTTTTTCTTTTTGTAGGATTTTTTTCCTTTTAAAAGAATTGATCTTTCAGGAAATTTGTAAAGCACATTCATCCATTCCAAGCCTATAAACATATTGCTTTTGTCATGGCAGATTTTCTAGTCAAGGAAACACTGTTCTAGAGGGATGTGTAGAAACCCCAACTTGATTGTTCACATTGTGTCTGACTTCACAAGTAATAGATGAAATTTGTTTTTTCTTGAAGTTAATAAAAGCTAGTTATTATTCAAGATGTAGCTAAATGTTTAATCATAATACTATATAACTACCAGGAATCTTGCTCCATGTTATTGAGTTCATTGCCATTAATTTGTGGGTATGTTTTACATATCTTTCAACTTTTCTGTAACTGTTCACCCATCCTTTTCTTTTTTTTTTTTTTTTTTTTAAATATTAAATTTTATTTTTATATTCCCCCATACAATTGCAAACGCCCCATTCTGACCCCAATCCTTCCCCTCCCGCCCCCCCACCCCCAAAAAGTGTCTCTGGTTCATAGTTTTTTGTTGATTTTGATTTTCACTTTCTTATATTCATTTTCCTGGTCCCTTATTTAAGTTTTCTAGATTCCTGCTATGAGTGAGACCATCCGGTATTTTTCTTTTTCTTTTTGGCTTATTTCGCTGAGCATGATCCCTTCCAGTGCCATCCATGTTGCTGCAAATTGCATGTGTTTATCTTTTTTGAATGCTGAGTAATATTCCATGGTATATATGTACCACATCTTCTTGATCCAGTCATCTATTTTTGGGCATTTGGGTTGTTTCCAAAGCTTAGCTATTGTAAACAGTGCTGCTATAAACATAGGAGTGCAGGTGCTCTTTGGAATTGATGTTTCTGTGTCCTTTGGGTAAATACCTAGGAGTGGAATTGCTGGATCATATGGAAGCCCTATGTTTAGTAGGTCCAGAAATCTCCACACAGCTCTCCATAGTGGTTGGACCAGTTTGCACTCCCACCAACAGTGCACAAGAGTTCCTTTTTCTCCACATCCTCGCCAACATTTGTTGTTGCTAGTTTTTTTAATATGTGCCATTCTCACTGGTGTGAGATGGTATCTCATGGTAGTTTTGATTTGCATTTCCCTGATTACAAGTGATGTTGAACATTTTTTCATATGTCTGTTGGCCATTTGCATTTCCTCTTCAGAGAAGTTTCTTTTTAGCTCTTCTGCCCATTTTTTGACTGGATTATTTTCTTTGTTGTTGCTGAGTCTCATCAGCTCTTTGCAGATTTTTGTGATCAGTCCTTTATCATTAGTGTTGGGTGCAAAAATGTTCTCCCAGTTGGTGGGGTTTCTCTTTGTTTTTGTTATTGTCTCTTTTGCTGTGCAGAAGCTCTTTAATTTGATGTAGTCCCAGCTGTTTATCTTTCTCTTCACTATCACTGCTTTGGGTGATGTGTCTTTAAAGATGTCTTTGATGTGCAAATCCCGTAGTGTTTCGCCTATATTTCCTTCTATGTATTTTATGGTTTCAGGTCTTATGTCTAGTTCTTTAATCCATTTTGAGTTGATTTTTGTGTATGGTGTGAGGTAGTGGTCAAGCTTCATTCTTTTGCATGTAGCGACCCAGTTTTCCCAGCACCATTTATTGAACAAACTTTCTTTGCTCCAATGCATAGTCTTTGCTCCTTTGTCAAAGATTAGTTGACCATAAATCTGTGGGTTTATTTCTGGATTTTCTATTCGATTCCATTGATCTCTATGTCTGTTCTTGTTCCAATACCATGCAGTTTTGATGATTATGGCTTTGTAGTAGAGTTTGAAGTCTGGGAGTGTGATGCCTCCATTTCCTTCTTTTTTTTTCAGTAGAGCTTTGGCTATTCGGGGTTTTTGGTGATTCCATATGAATTTCATCAATAATTGTTCTATTTCTTTGAAGAATGCCATTGAGATTTTGATTGGAATAGCATTGAATCTGTATATTGCTTTTGGTAGGATGGCCATTTTAATAATGTTTATTCTTCCAATCCATGAGCAGGGGATGTCTTTCCATTTCTTTGTGTCTTCTTCTATTTCTTTTAACAGTGTTTTATAGTTTTCTTTGTATAGGTCCTTTACCTCTTTTGTTAGATTTATTCCCAAATATTTGATTTTTTTTGTTTCGATAATAAAAGGGGTGTTTTTTTTGATTTCTTCTTCTTCAGATTTATTGTTTGTGTATAGGAAGGCTACTGACTTTTGCGTGTTGATTTTGTATCCTGCCACTTTACTGAATTGATTGATGAGTTGAATTAGTTTTTCTGTGGAGATTTTGGGGTTCTCTATGTATATTATCATATCGTCTGCAAATAGTGATAGTTTGACTTCTTCTTTTCCTATTTGGATTCCTTGGATGTCTTTCTCTTGTCTTATTGCTCTGGCTAGGACTTCCAGTATTATATTGAAAAGCAGTGGTGAGAGTGGACATCCTTGTCTTGTTCCAGATCTTAATGGAATTGCTTTCAGCTTTTCACCATTGAGAATGATACTGGCTGTTGGCTTGTCATAGATGGCCTTTATGATGTTGAGGTATGTTCCTTGTATCCCAAGAATTTCAAGGGCTTTTATCATGAATGGGTGTTGCACTTTGTCGAAAGCTTTCTCAGCATCTATTGATATTATCATATGGTTTTTATATTTCTTTTTGTTGATGTGTTGGATAACGTTGATTGATTTTCGGATGTTAAACCATCCTTGTGCCCCTGGAATGAATCCAACTTGGTCGTGGTGAATTATCTTATGGATACATTGTTGGATTCTGATAGCTAAAATTTTATTGAGGATTTTTGCATCAGTGTTCATTAGGGAGATTGGCCTATAGTTTTCCTTTTTTGTGTTGTCCTTATTCGGTTTTGGTATTAGTGTAATATTGGCTTCATAGAACGTGTTTGGTATTGTCCCTTCCTTCTCAATTTTTTGGAAGAGTTTGTGAAGGATAGGCACTAATTCGTCTCTGAATGTTTGGTAGAATTCATTTGTAAATCCATCAGGTCCTGGGCTTTTGTTTTTGTCACCCATCCTTTTCTTAATTTATGAAGTATAAAGAGAAGAATTATTTGTTGTACAGAAGGGAATTGTGACTGGGAATTGTGAGTGACTTAGCACATTCAGATTTCTTATTTTAGTTTAATTGTAAAATAAATTTAGACATGAAAAAATTGCAAAACTAGTTCCCATTATTCTCTGCCCAGCTTCCTCCAATGGTCACATCTTAACCAGCTAGCCATGCTACTATTATCAAAGAGGAAATTAATATTGATATGATACTATTAATTAATCTACAGACCCCTTCAGTGTTTTACATGGTTTCCCACTAATTGCTTTCTTTTCTGGTCCATGATCCAATCGTTGATCACACATTGCATTTAGTGTCATTTTTCATTAGTCTTAGTTTTATAAGTGTTTGTTAGTTTTAATATGAAATTCAAGGAATTCTTTCTATAAACTTAACTACATTTTAGAAAATATCCTAATTTAGGTTTTATGACAGCATCTTTTTCAGATCTCTAGTCGTCTCATTATAAATGTTTTCTGAGAAAAAAATTTTATGAGTTAAGGAGTAAAATTAACCACTAAATTATTCAAACCATTGCTCAGAAGATACAGTGTACTTACTTTTAAAGCAAATGCATCCAAGTGCATTCAGTATTTTTTGATGGTAAAGTGTTTTTATTATAAAGTTCAGGGATAAGAAAATTGAATGTGGATCCTGGGGTTCAAAGGATCAGAATAAACATTGCTGTATACTAGTAGTCATTTTTAACACCGGTGTATCTATTTGGCATTTGAGATAATATGGTTTGGAACTCTGAAAAATAATTTTTTTATATTTACAGAAAAAGATCTACAAAGATCAGATGGAATACATGTTGCAAAACCATGTATTTCCTCTCTTCAGCAGTGAACTAGGCTACATGAGAGCAAGGGTATGTTTAAAAACTAATTTATGAATTTATGTTTTTCATAGTGAATGTTTTTAACTTGTATATTGAAATTTTTTATGGTTCACTTTAAAAACTATATTTCCTTTTAGACTTCAGTTAATGTAAGTCATTAAATGGCTGCTGTAAAGTGTGCATGGTTGTCATCTATGTTTGATAGCAGTATCTGTCTGTGTTTTTCATTCAGATCTGTTATCCACACAAATACCATGCAGCCAAAGAGTAACTTGGGATCATAGTACTGGTTTAGTGTTGTCTCTTTGGACACCTACCACTGGCCAGCCTCCAAATTCCCTTACACAGAACTTTGAGAACAGAGATATGGTAAACTGGGGGAATTTAATGTAAAGGATGTATAGTAACTCACCAGATTTTTTTTTTTAAGGCTTGCTGGGTCCTTCACTATTTTTGTGAAGTAAAGTTCAAAAGTGACCAGAACCTGCAAACAGCCTTAGAGCTGACACGAAGATGTCTGATTGATGATAGGGAAATGCCTGTAAAAGTGGAAGCTGCCATAGCACTTCAAGTGTTGATCAGCAATCAAGAAAAAGGTAAAGGATTTGCGGTTCCAATAGTATAATATCTTTACATGTAATTATACACGGCGTAATCCTGAAAACTCAACACATAGTGTTTTCACATGGAAGTTTTTTTACTCTTAGTATATCAAGTTTAAAGAAATTTTGGCTGTTTTTGCTAAAAAGTTTTTTTCATACAGCTAAAGAATACATCACTCCATTCATCAGACCTGTAATGCAGGCTCTCCTTCATATTATAAGAGAAACAGAAAATGATGATCTTACCAATGTAATTCAGAAAATGATCTGCGAATATAGTGAAGAAGTTACTCCTATTGCAGTAGAAATGACACAACATTTGGTATGTTATTTGAACCAATCATTTTTGCATTACTTTATAGCAAGTCTTTTCACCTAGTTTATAATAGATAGTATTCTAAGCCTTAATATATATTTAACTAATTTAATTCCCATATAGCCCTATGTGAGGAATATTCCTATCCTGAGATATTGTGGGGTATAAGGTTAAGTGACTTGGGGAAAGGGGTAGGTCTGGGATTCATACCTGAGCTATGTGCCTTCACACTGCCTAAAGTTGAATCATTTCTGCCTTTTTTTCTTCCTGGGTTACTTTGGAACAACTTAAAGACGAAGTTTAGGTAATAGTTAAGGTAGATTTTTTTTCTTACATGAAATTTGTGGAAACAGCTGTTATTTTATAGTTGGCCTTTTTATGTACATAACCCCAAATCTTTGAGAATTAGCTCTGTAAATAAGGGTCAAAGAATGCATGAACAGGTGCCCAATAACTATTCACTTAGAGTCCCTGTACAATGATTTATTTGATTTAGAATTTTATTACTGCTAAATATTTGAGGTTTTAAGATTAACTCTTGATATTTGTGGATTTAAGCAAGGCACAGAGTTTTGTGAAAAATACTGTGTATAGCTGATTTTGATGGGTAAACAGATTTGAATAAATATAGTAAGTAGCATTCATTACGTATATATGTTGCATTTATAACATTAAGCTGATTGTTGATTATTACCCCTTTCCATTACTACTCTCATTTTGTTTCCAAATGATTGGATTTTAAAACAAAAAAGCCCTTGGTGATTAATCTACTATATTTAGGGTATTGTCATATGTCTGTCAGTAATATTCATAATATTAAACTGTTTCTATACTCTGCCCATTTAATTCTCACAGTATCTATAGAGTTCCCAAATAATGTGATAGGAAAGAGGTCAAGTAATTTGTCTAAGGTCATCTAGCAAGTATCAGAGTGTTACCATTTGATTCCTGAGCATAAGCAATTGGAGACATTGTGTCATCTCAATGAAAACATTTAAAACTCAAAATGTTTGCTTTAAGAGCAAGCCTAAATTTTATTCTCTTGAATCTAGGCAATGACATTTAACCAAGTAATCCAGACTGGGCCTGATGAAGAAGGAAGTGATGACAAAGCAGTTACTGCTATGGGAATTCTGAATACCATTGATACACTTCTTAGTGTAGTAGAAGATCATAAAGAGGTAAGAAAATGATGCAGTATTGCATAGCTTTTAGGGCATTTCAGACCATTCTTTATCAACTGTTCTGTACTCTCTAGAGGACTCTACTTGCAGGATTATACACCTTGATTTTGCCATTGTTGTTATTTTAGTTCCCTTTTGTAAGGATAGGATTGCTACCTAAGAAATATTTTAGATTCCTTAGTATTAGAGAAACTAGGAACATGAGATTTGTATTAACATCTGTTTACCTTAGACTTAGGATTTATTTACATATCCAAGATTTTTTTTTATCTTAAGCCTATGCAGTTCAGTGCACTAAACCATCACCATCCTCTTCCTATTTTTCTTTTACTGTTGTCTTTTAGAAAGGCAAGAGAATTATAATCTGGATTTTTAAAACATACAGAAAAGAGTAAAGAACAGAGAAAAGTATAACCAATACCCTTTAGCTACCACCTAAATTTATTAGATTTAAACATTTTACAGTATGTCCTTTAGACTATTCCCAGTAAGAGGCAATGATAGATGCAGTTGATGTCCTTGGGGTATCATTTTCTGATCTCATTTTCCTGCTTTATTTCATTAGAAGTACAGTCCTGAATTCAGTATTTGTAATTCCAGTGCATATATTTACATCCATGATCATGTTAATAGATTATTGTTAGCCTTTTGTAACATGAGATTTTCCATAAAATACCTTTGTATTGTAGATTATAATTGGAGATGACAAACCATGAGGAGTCTTTGAGGAATTGAAAGTGTGTACATTTGAAATGGCTGTCCTGCTTCTATATCAGATGACTAAATTTTATCTTAATTCCTTTCCTTTATCCCCCACTCCCATTAAAACATTCTGATGACTTATGGAGTTGTAATTCAATTAAGGATCATAGCAACTAATCAGAATTTGTACTTTCTGTCAGTTTTATATGACATAAAGGCCTGCTTTACTATATGTAATGTAATTACATAAGTAGCAGTGATTTAAGAATTTGAGGGAGGGGACTCCCCGGTGGTGCAGTGGGTTGAGCGCAGCACTGTGAAGCTGTCCGCAGCCTCTGCGGCGCTGGTTCGATTCCCGGCCAGCCAGGGAGAATCCCACAAGGCAAAGGAGACCTCTCCTATCTCGCCCTCTGCTTCCCTCAGCAGTGCTTTTGGTCTGTGTGCCTGTTCTGCTCTCCACTCTGTCTCTGGTGAATTCTCTCACCCTCCCGCGACTCTGGCCTGTACCTCAGTTCTTGTATAAATAAAATAAATCTTAAAAAAATAAAAAAGGAATTTTTGGGATTGGAAGAAATAATGCCTTCTTTCAAATAAGTTTTCTGTAAGCCACCAACAGTAACTTTTCAGCTATATCTGGACTGAATTAATCTATATTTACATACAAAAAGATCTCTTGAGTACCTCCCTGGTGTCCTAGGGGTTAAGTCTCAGCACTATCACCCAGGCCAGGGAGCTGTCTGATCCCAGGCCAGGCGGGAGCTAACTCACATATGGTTAGCAGACCTTTCCTGTATTGCCCACTGCTCCCTTTAGCAGTGTATTTCAGTAAATCCTCCTGTTCTGCTCCCCACTCTGTCTCTGTTGACTCCTCACCCCTCAGGCCTATGTCCCACTTCTTCTACAAAATAAAAAATACTAAAAACAAACGAAAAAAGATCTATAGGCCAGTTTGCAGAATGTTTGTTGCACGTTTATTTTTATGATTATTTGCATTTTTCCAAGATACTCATTTTCCTTTGCTTTGTTAAATAAACTGAAATGTCAGCTTTGGTGTTTGCCTCATTGTAATGGTATGTTATTACATCATTTCAAAAGACTTGAAATGATTCCTTAACAATATTTTTAGATTTAAATGTAGTGATTTTTGTATAGTACGCATTACTTAGTAATTCATTCAGTGTGCTGCAATTCCATGTGATTTTTTTTTTTCCTTCTCTTTTAGATAACCCAGCAGCTTGAGGGAATCTGCTTACAGGTCATTGGAACTGTTTTACAACAGCATGTCCTAGGTACATACTTCTGATTGTACTGAGAATTTCTACTATTTCACAACAGCAAGCACTATGCTAATGACTCTTTATTCTGTTTTAGAATTTTATGAGGAGATCTTCTCCTTAGCACATAGTTTGACATGTCAACAAGTATCTCCACAGATGTGGCAGCTACTACCTCTGGTATTTGAGGTTTTTCAGCAAGATGGCTTTGATTACTTTACAGGTAAGTTAAGCTACAATAGAACTATTGAGGATTTCCCATATTTTGATTCATTTTTAGCACAACTGAACATATTTTTTGGTGTTCTCATCCTTCGTTGTTAGGTTAAGTTATCACTAGCAATTAATGCTCAGGGAAGACCCACAGCATTGATTTTTAATGTATTTTGATTTAGATAGTCTTTCAGATTTTTCCCTTTTTAATTTTTTAAATTTTTTTTTATAAAAAGATTTATTTATTTATTTAAGCACTGGGTACGTCACAAGCGTGGGAGGGTGAAAGAATTCACCAGAGCCAGAGCGGGGAGCAGAGCAGGCAGAAGGACCGAAGTACACTGCTGAGGGTAGTGGCGGGCGACAGGAGAGGTCTGTGCGCCATGCAGGACCCTCCTCCGGTGGCCGGGGAGCAGCCGGGGATCGAACCCGCGCTGCAGAGGATGCGGGCAGCTTCGCAACCCAGTGCCCAACCACTGCGCCACCGGGGAGGCCCAAGATTTTTCCCTTTTTAACACATTTTTACCCCCTATACCCCCATCAGTCTTCTCTGCATAATCTTTGTATTTAACTTTTTCCTATTTAAATGTCAAGGAATTTGCTTAGATTTAATTATAAATGAATATGATTTAATTGATTGAATGTCTAGGGGCAAAACAATTTCAGATTTGCTTTTCTTTTTTACAAATAGCATTTATAAGTAAAGATTTAACTAATGCTTTTTATTAATACAGATATGATGCCTCTGCTTCATAATTATGTAACAGTTGATACAGACACACTTCTGTCTGATACCAAATATCTTGAAATGATATACAGTATGTGCAAAAAGGTAGGTCATTTTTAGTTAATATCAGAACATGTTAGGCTGGTACAATAAAAAGTTTGACAATGTGAAGGTACATGATAACCACATTATTGTGAACAATCCAGTCATAAATGGATTCATAGAATTAAGGGCTATAATGGTTATAAACTAAAAAGATTTTGATGCCCCAGTAATAGCTTTGACAAATACTTGTCTTCTAGCTGCCCTCTGATAGGGCATTTAATTGAAGTTATATTATTGTTGATTTTTAGAGTGCCTGGAACTTACATTAGCCTCATTCTTTACTGGGCTTTGACTAAAAAGAAGGGGGAAAAAGTCAGGAACCTGCAGATTTTGAAGGATCATGAATGTTTAGAGATGTATTATGAAGAAAATACTTGGAGGTGTATGGAAGCTGTACAATAAATACTTACAAAATATCACAATTGTAAAACCTAAGGGTTTGTTTCTTTAAAAGGCAGAAATGTGTGCCATTTCCTGGAAAATCAAAAGACAAATTTTAACAGTGTTGTTGAAAGGCAGAACACCAAGCATTTTAAAAATTATCTTGCTCCATGAAGTTTTTAGATGCTTTGTCTTCATTGATAGCATTTCTTTTCTGAACACTATTTACAAAATAATCATCTAGTTTTGTTCTTCATTTATTGTCAATTTTGTTACTTATAGTTTGATGCTCTAGGAACAAAGATACCATCTACTTTTCCTATTCTAAAACATTTATCCTCATCCAATGTTTTTATTTCTTGCCTAGGGACATTTGTCAGCAGACTGGTTCTTCCTTTCCCACTAATGTCAGTGTTTTTTAATTTATGAGACTTGTGTAAAGAAAAGTTTTCCCCTGCAATATTAACTTAGTTTGTTGTGGTTCCTTTCATACAGGAACTAGTTATCTGTCATAAAGGTAAGGTATTTTAGCTACCACATTTGTATTAGAAAGTAGTGGTTGTCAACATGCTACTCCATGTTAACAGAGTGGCAATACAAGGGAGAAAGTTTGATTATAAAGACTGGTATGCCAGCGTGCTACTTCTAGACTATGAAAGATTACTTCAAATCCCTACAGGTGCTTTAGACTACAGTCTGTATAGTGAACATTGTAATCATGTCAATTAGAATATCTTCTTGACACTGTAGATAAAGAATGGAAATTCTCAGACTTTAGAAGTCTTATGGTGCCTCATTGCAATTTATATTCTGTGTTGATCCAGGTTCTTACAGGAGTCGCAGGAGAAGATGCAGAGTGTCATGCAGCAAAGTTGTTAGAGGTCATCATTCTACAGTGCAAAGGGCGTGGCATCGACCAGGTCAGTGAGGCTTCAGAAAAGGATTCTTCCCTTGCCCATTTTTTTCTTTTTAGTCACTTGTTATATATCCTGTATGTTACTGTATATTGTGACTGCTCAGTCCATTTTAAATTAAACCATTATAAAATAATATGTTTAATATGTGTGAAAATACAATTGGCAAGTGTTATCTGACAACTTGTTATCATGACACATTATCACTTTTTAGCAGACACATTTGTCATTAAGTTTCCATGGTCAGTTTCTGTAGGACTTCTTTTCATATATTATTGATAGCTGATATAACAAAGTGATATAACATAGCTGATATAACAAGTGTAAGTTTAAGGTATAGTGTAATGAGTTGATACATGCTTATATTGCAAAATGAATACCAAATTAATGTCAGTAAGAATATTGTGAATGCATGATTGTTTGGGGGCACTATTATCTCAGAGAAAACCTTGACTCTGAATTTGGGTTTTCTCAATAAAAATCTTTTGGATCTTCTAATGGAAAAAGGTTAGTTCAGGCAACAAGTAGGTTAATGTGAACAGCATAGAGTACTGTAAACTTAAAATTTTGGACTCTTTCTTTACAGTGCATTCCCTTATTTGTGGAAGCAGCTTTGGAGAGATTGACAAGAGAGGTGAAGACAAGTGAACTTAGAACAATGTGCCTGCAAGTCGCCATCGCAGCTTTATATTATAATCCACACCTACTTCTCAATACCTTAGAGAATCTTCGCTTCCCTAATAATGTTGAGCCAGTTACAAACCATTTTATTACCCAATGGCTTAATGATGTTGATTGTTTCTTGGGGTAAGTGACAAATTGGATCTTTCTTCATTTAACCTTGCATGGAACTCTGCTTATTAAAAAAGGTTAAGAATATGTCATTTTATTTTATTTTTAGGCTTCATGACAGAAAGATGTGTGTTCTCGGCCTGTGTGCTCTCATTGACATGGAACAAATACCACAAGTTTTAAATCAGGTTTCTGGACAGATTTTGCCAGCTTTTATCCTTTTATTTAATGGATTAAAAAGAGCATATGCCTGCCATGCAGAACATGAGAATGACAGTGATGATGATGATGAAGCTGAAGATGATGATGAAACAGGTAAGGGATTTGCTATGGAGGAAAACAGTTATCTAGTTAGGAATATCACAACTTATTTTTTATTGGCCTTAATACAGAAAATGGCATGATAATCAAATGTGTCATACCCATTCATTAAAAGAAAGACTATTTTCTCACCAGAGTGTAAGGTCCATGGAGGTACTTCGTCTGTACCTCCAGTGGGTAAAATACTTTCAGGCATTTATGGTTTTTGTGATGGCAAACATTTGTCATCTGTTAGTTCTAAAAGAAATAAATAAGGATTCTTGTACTAATAATAGAGAAAATATTGTAATGTTCCAAAAATAAGATAGCTATTGCCATTTTTATCATCTACTAACTTAACCATCCTGGGGCAGCAGGAGAGGGGAAGGGTACATAAAAGGTGTTTTGTTGTATATAACATAAACTGTTTTACTTTACCATTGTTACTTGCTTTGGTATGTTCCATAAGGCTCTAGTAGAGCACACAAAATGCTGAAGCTTATGTTATCCTTTTTCAAACCGCTAGAGGTTTAAGAATAATGGTTGGTTTTTTAAATTTGTAATATTGCTGAATATGTAGTTAATCAATTCCTAGGAACTTCTTGAATTTATTCAATTATGATTTTTAATTACTGTAAGTGATCTTAATTACTGGCAGTTTGTTGAGTAGTAGATTATTTTAGTACCTATTTTTAACTTGGCAGAGGAACTGGGGAGTGATGAAGATGATATTGATGAAGATGGGCAAGAATACTTAGAGATTCTGGCTAAGCAAGCAGGTGAAGATGGAGATGATGAAGATTGGGAAGAGGATGATGCTGAAGAGACTGCTCTGGAAGGCTACTCCACAATCATTGATGATGAAGATAACCCTGTTGATGAGTATCAGATATTTAAAGCTATATTTCAAAGTAAGTCAATATATTAAATTCAAGTAACTACAATTCTTTTCCTTGAGCCTATCTGCTTTTGTTTGTGTATGCACTCTAAAGAGTTATGGGATCAAACATAACTCAGATAGTGCTGCCACTATCTGTTCTAGACTACCACAATAAGGAGCAATATTGCATAGAGAAATCACATAAAATTTTTGGCTTCCCAGAGCATGTAACATTTATGTTTATACTCTACTATAGTCTAAGCGTACAGTAGCATTACCTCAAAAATCAAGGTGTAGGGCCTTCCCTGGTGGCGCAGCGGTTGAGCACTGGGCTGCGAAGCTGCCCGCAGCCTCTGCAGCGCCACCCCGGCCGCCAGCGAGGGTCCCACATGGCGCGCAGACCTCTCCTGCCGCCCGCTGCTCCCCTCAGCACTGTGCTTCGTTCATCTGCTTGTTCTGTTCCCCGCTCTGGCTCTGGTGAATCCTCTCACCCTCCCGCGCTTCTGACTGTACCCAGTGCTTGCATAAATAAATAAATCTTTAAAAAAAAATCAAGGTATATATCTTATATTAAAAATACTTTGTCACTTAAAAATACTAACTCTTGGGCTTCCCTGGTAGAGCAAGGGGTTAAGACACAACCTGTAAAGCTATTTGCAGCCACTGTAGCATGAGTTCAATCCCTGGTCAGGGAGCTACCCACATGGTGCAGCAGACCTCCCCTGACTCGCCTGCTGCTCCTCTTAGCAATGTATTTCAGTCATTCTGCCTATTCTGTTCCCCACTCTGTCTCTGGTGAATCCTCTCATCCTCCCCCACACCTCTGGCCTATACCCCAGTTCTTATATGCATAAACAAATAAAAGAAAAAAAAAGCTGACTATCATCTGAATCTTCACCAGGTCATAATCTTTATCCTGGTGGAGTTTCTTACCTTGATATAGATGGCTGCTGATCAGGTTGATGAAAGTTGGGGTGGATACGTTTTAATATAAGATAACAAAGAAGCTTGCCACATTGACTTTTTCACAAATGCTTTCTCTGTATCACACAATATTATTTGATAGCATTTTGCTTATAGTAGAAATTCTTTCACAGCTGTCCTTTCAAGCTTTGAAGCCAGGCACTGACTTCTTTTCAGCCAGAAAAGTCCTAGCTGGCATCTTCTTTCAGTAGAAGGCTGTTTGTCTACATTGAAAATCTGTTGTTTAGTGTGGCCATCTTCATCATTTTGTTTTAGCTAGATCGTTGGGTGTCTTGCTCCAGCTTTTACATCAGCACTTGCAGCTTCATCTTAAACTTCTGTTATGGAGAAAGCATTTTTCCTTAAACCTCATAAACCAACCTTGCTAACTTCAGACTTCTGCAGCTTTCTTACCTCTCTCTACAGAATTGGAGAGAACGAGGATTTTGTCCTAGATAATACTTTAGCTTATGGAAATGATGTGGCAGGTTTGATCTTCTATCCTGACCACTAAAACTTTGTATTAGCAGGAAGGCTATTTCACTTGTACATTCACTGGAGTAGCACTTTTACTTTGCATACATTACTTGGATAAGTGGTACTAGATCCTAGCTTTGGCCCTATCTTGGTTTTTGAAATCTCTTTTGTATGGAATCTAATCATTTCTGATTAAAAGTAATTAGAGCCCTGTAAATCTTCCTTTGACTTATTTCAATATTTTGTCTCAGGGAATAGGGAAAGGGAGATGAGGAAACTATAGGTTGGTAAAACAGGCACACATACAAATCAGTTAAGTTCTCCATTTTATATGAGTGGGTTTGTCGTACCCCAAAATAGTAACAAAGCATCAAAGATCACACCAATCACAAATCACCATTACAGATAGAAGAATAATAAAAAAAAAACTTAAAATACTGCAAGAATGACCAAATTGTGAGACACAAAGTGAAGACATGCTGTTTAAAAATAGACTTGCCGAACTCAGCATTGCCACAAACCTTCATTGGTTTAAAAAAAAATGCAATCAGATGAAGCACATTAAAAACAAGGTATGCCTGCATATCATACCAAATTAGAATTATAATAGGATTTGAGAGAAATAACCAATTATATCTGCTGTTGCCAGTTTCAGACATCCTATTTAAAATGTTATTTTGTAACACGCATTATAATAGTATAGATTTAAAAATTCATACAGTAACAATTCCTCTTTCCCACATCAAATTTCTAGCTTTTCCCCAAAGTAAATGGCTCTTATAATCACTTTGTTGTATGTTATATCTTTGTGTATCTTTTCCCCCAACTCTGCCATAGACACAGTTACCTGTCTGAGAATTTGACTAAAACATTTATGGTCTTGGAATGACTTTTCTTTATTCATGTGTCATTGTAACTGTAGCCTATTTGGTGCCACTTTTGTTTTAGTTTACCATATCTTGAATTTCAATAAGATATAACATGTGTATTATACTACCTAACTTAGAAAATTAAAATTGGGGGGCCTCCCTGGTGGCGCAAGGGTTAAGACGCAACCTATGGAGCTGTCCTCAGCACGAGTTCAATTCTCAGCCAGCCAGGGAGCAACCCACATGGCGCAGCAGACCTCTCCTGGCTCGCCCGCTGCTTCCCTCGGCAGTGTACTTCAGTCAGCCTGCCTGTTCTGTTCTCCACTCTGTCTCTGGTGGGTCCTCTTGCCACAGGCCTCTAGCCTGTGCCCCAGCTCTTGTATGCATAAATAAATAAATCTTTAAAAAAAGAAAAAGAAAATTAAAATTGGCACTGTATTTGAAACATCTTTCTCCTCAGAGTTAACCTGCTGTGCTGTTTATCATTCCTATACATTATGCACTTAGATGTAGAATAAGTTCTCTGATAACTAAGTCATCATGACAAAGCAATTTTGATACAAGGTTGTAGAAATACAAAGGAATGACCTCTGAGCTACCAGGCAGGTAGCAAGAATTGAGTTGCCAAGAAGTACCTACTTGGTTTTGTGCTGTATGTTGATGACTGTATGTTGTAGACATTAACCTAAGTTAACCTAAAGGATGGTTTATATTAGAGAACCCATGTACTATAAATGTATTAAGTATAAATAGAAAATCATGTAGTTGAATGTCAGGTTTTCTCTACAAAATACCAGGTACGTATGTGAGGAATTCTTGGAATTTGTTAAAAGAAAAAAATTTTTTCTTTAAAAATACATTTCCCTTAGTTTGATTTAATCACATACTTATTTAATGAGTGAATTCTGTGCAATTTTCTCAGACTGTCTTTAACTTTGTTTTTAAAATGACCTTCAAAATAAACTGTTAAAATGTCAAAAAAAAATTTTTTTCTTTAGGGAAAAGCCTCTTTCTCTCACTACACTTCACCATTTTGTATGGTAATTCACTTGCATGTCAAAATAGGGAAATACATGGTCAGATTTACTACCATGATATATTAATTTAGCTATTGTATGCTTTTATGAAATATTGTGAGATTGTGATAACTACTTGTGTAACATAATGAGAAAATTTGGCCACAGATTGAGTTTGATCATTAGTTAGGCTATAATACAAAAATGTGTGAGCATTGTGATCTTAACTCTTTAAGTATGCAGTGCTTTCTATAGAAAGACAAAACCTTTTTTAAAAAGATTTTTGAATAGCAGGAGATACATGATTTTTTTTGTGTGCTATTCAGCCCTTTATTGCATCAACTTGATGTTACTGGGTTTTGTTTCTTAATTTAGGGGTTTGAGAATTCTAATATAAATTTCTTAAGTTTGCCTAGCTAGTTATTATATAAGAACAGGTTTGGGCTCTGAATCCTTATTTGTTTGCTGTATAAATTATGAGAAAGATTAGATTTTTTTAAGGACAGAAGCTAAACGTAAATTTTTTTCCTATATCCTTTGTTTCAGAAGTAACTTAAAATAACAAATTATTTTTTTAAAAGAGTATATTCATTCTTTTACTTGTTTTTTTTTTTTTTAAGATTTATTTATTTATGCATACAAGAACTGGGGTACACGCCAGAGGTGTGGAGAGGTAAGGGGATTCACCAGAGAGAGAGTGGTGAACAGAACAGGCAGATCCACTGAAACACTGCTGATGAGAGCAGCGGGCGAGTCAGGAGAAGTCTGCTGCGCCATGTGGGTATCTCTCTGGCCAGGGATCGAACTCATGCTGCAGTGGCTGCAGATAGCTCCATAGGTTAGGTTTAACCTTAACCTAGTGCCACCAGGGAGGCCCCTAAAATGACAAACTATTAATGGGAAAAACGAAAACATATTCAATTTTAATACTGGAGGTACTGTAGAGGGAACAGAACAGAAAGGAACTATTAGGCCTCTCTACTAATAGCCCTTTTTTCCCTTTTCTTTTCGATAGCTATACAAAATCGTAATCCTGTGTGGTATCAAGCCCTGACTCATGGTCTAAATGAAGAACAAAGAAAACAGTTACAGGATATAGCAACTCTGGCTGATCAAAGAAGAGCAGCCCATGGTATGTTGATAAACACAAGCCCTCTTTAATGTAATTAATGATTTGCTGTAGCCTAAAGTTTTCTATTAAATGATTTTAAATTATAAAAAGCTACATTATTGTAGGTGGATTTCACTCTAAAAGAATGAAGTAAATAAATTTTTGCTTGCTCTCCCTTACTGATTTTAAGTGTAGTTGAAGACTACTTTCAGTATTAGGAGTAGCTTTAATAAAGTTGTTCAAGCTCCTGGTGAGCTTGTTTGTATTAGAAGAGGCTATAAAAACTGTAAAAGTTATAAAAAAAACTGCATTTCAAAAAGGGACATTTTAAATAATACACAATCTAACAATGTGATGTAGGTCTTAATACTGTTACCAGACAAGTGTTATGTTCAAAGAAGCATCCTCCCTATAAACAAAGCATATCTGTTTGAAGTATTTTATGATTGGATTTATCTGCATTATAGTCCCATTAGAAATTTGGTCCTACTTATGTGTTTTTCTCAAAATGGGGCATTTAAAGAGTTTCTGGGTTTTTTTTTTTTAATGATGGGAAGTAAACGTAGACTAAGAGTTCTATACAATAGGTGAGTTTATCTCCCTTCCAAATATTTTCCTCTCTTGCTCTTATTCGGACCAACTTTGGGAC